CCCTGGCATTATGGTAATCAGAATTTGATAGTAATCCCTGGCATTATGGTAACAGAATTTGATAGTAATCCCTGGCATTATGGTAATCAGAATTTGATAGTAATCCCTGGCATTATGGTAATCAGAATTTGATAGTAATCCCTGGCATTGTGGTAATCAGAATTTGATAGTAATCCCTGGCATTATGGTAATCAGAATTTGATAGTAATCCCTGGCATTATGGTAATCAGAATTTGATAGTAATCCCTGGCATTGTGGTAATTAGAATTTGATAGTAATCCCTGGCATTATGGTAATCAGAATTTGATAGTAATCCCTGGCATTACTTTAATCAGAATTGATTTGAATTGACTTTAATTGATTTGATTTTGTTAATCAGAATTCATCATTTTCTCATCTAATTATACACAATGATGTTTTCAGGATCTGTCCTATAAAGATCGTCATTGGCATGAACAATGTTTCTTCTGCCATGAATGCAATACATCTTTAGTGGACAAACCATTTGCAGCGCGAGACGATGATCTCTTCTGCAGTAATTGCCATGACAACAAGTTTGCAGCAAGATGTGATGGATGCAAAGATATATTCAAATCTGGTAAGTTTTTATTTGAAGTTTGTAAAACACTTCGTAGTCGATGGCGGGCCATTGCATAATTCAATCTCGCTATGCAATTTTTCTATTGATGACTGCCTATGATGTTTAAATAATTATACATACAATGTGTAACCCAGATACTTACAATGTGTAACCCAGATACTCACAATGTGTAATCCAGACACTCACAATGTGTAACCCGGACACTCACAATGTGTAACCTACATACAAACATATTGTTAATTATGATTTGTTTTCAGGAATGAAAAAGATGGAATATAAAGGACAACAATGGCATGAGCATTGTTTTGTTTGTGTGAATTGCAAAGAGAAAATTGGATCTGATAGTTTTATACCAAAAGATGGTTCCATCTACTGTGTACCATGTTATGAAGATATTTTTGGTACCAAGTGTAACAACTGTACAAAGGTAAGCACCAATCTGCTGCCAATAAATATGAATGTAGGAATTTATATTTGGTAATCCCAGTCGTGGTAATTATTAAAGATATTCAAACATTTTTGAAAATGGTTCTTCATCAGTAGTATCTGTTAAAAGAACTGTAATTGGCAGCCTTCACTTTCTCTTTAGGCAGTGATTGTGTTGTAAGCACAGTAATAGTTTTAAAATGTTAGATAGTGGTAGTGTTAAGACGTTAGGTGTTGACATGTTGCAAAGTCAAGCATAGACATTCAGTTCGACAGTGGATGTTGCAAAGTTAGTCAGTGATAGTATTGCAAAGTTAGGCAGTAACTTTATTGCAAAGCTAACAAAGTTAGGCAGTGGCTGTTGCAAAGGTAGTCACAGTATTGCAAATTTAGGCAGTGAGGATGTTATAAATATAGTCTGACAGTGTTGCAAAGTTAGGCAGTGACAGTGCTGTACAGTTACTAGCAATAGTATTGATATGTGAAGAAAACAATTGATGTAAATGGTATTTGTTTTCTGTAAAACTAAACCTAGACTATTAGTATATTAGTATTTGCATATTACTAAGCTTGTATGTCATCCACTACTCATATGTGCTTGTACAATTCCATAGCGGTTACACGGAAGAATAGTCATTGATTTGAATGACTTCACCGAGTATTATGTTGTGTTCATGTTTGATTCAGACGAACAAATTAGTGAAAAAATGTGTTTATAACTTGCGGCATTTAAATAATTTCTCAGGCAATAAATTTGCTTAAAATGTACACATTATATGATTATGTCAGTTCTATTTTTAGTAAAATCATGTAATTCTATTACTGATTTGATTTCACAGATCATCAATGCTGGAGGTGTAACTTACCGTGGTGAACCATTCCATAAAGAATGTTTTGTATGCAACGATTGTAAGAAACCATTGGCTGGTATGAGATTTACTTCACGAGAAGACAAACCATACTGTGCTGATTGCTTTGGAGAAAGATTTGCTAAGAAATGTACTTCATGCTCTAAGCCAATCACAGGTAACATCAGATACATGTATCTAATATTGGTTTATGTCAACCCAGTGTGAGAGTACTGAACCCAGTGTGGGAGTACTGGACTCAGTGTGGTAGTACTGGACCCAGTGTGATAGTACTAGACCCAGTGTGATAGTACTGGACCCGTTGTGATAGTACTGGACCCAGTGTGATAGTACTGGACCCAGTGTGGTAGTATGTGACCAGTGTGGTAGTATGTGACCAGTGTGATAGTATGGGACCAGTGTGATAGTACTGGACAGGGTGTGATAGTACTGGACAGGGTGTGATAGTATGTGACCAGTGTGATAGTACTGTACCCAGTGTGACGGTACTGGACCCGGTGTGATAGTATTGGTCCGGGTGTGATAGTATTGGACCCAGTGTGATAGTATTGGTCCGGGTGTGATAGTATTGGACCCAGTGTGATAGTACTCGACCCAGTGTGATAGTACTAGACCCAGTGTGATAGTAATGGACCCAGTGTGATAGTACTAGACCCAGTGTGATAGTAATGGACCCAGTGTGATAGTACTAGACCCAGTGTGATAGTAATGGACCCAGTGTGATAGTACTAGACCCAGTGTGATAGTAATGGACCCAGTGTGATAGTACTAGACTCAGTGTGATAGTACTGGACCCAGTGTGATAGTAATGGACCCAGTGTGATAGTACTAGACTCAGTGTGATAGTACTGGACCCAGTGTGATAGTACTGGACCCAGTGTGATAGTACTGGACTGGGTGTAATGGTAGTGGACCCAGTGTGATAGTAATGGACCCAGTGTGGTAGTACTGGACCCAGTGTGATAGTACTGGACCCAGTGTGATAGTACTGGACCCAGTGTGACAGTACTGGACCCGGTGTGATAGTATTGCACCGGTGTGATAGTACTGGACCCAGTGTGATAGTATTGGTCCGGGTGTGATAGTATTGGACCCAGTGTGATAGTACTCGACCCAGTGTGACAGTAATGGACCCGGTGTGATAGTACTAGACCCGGTGTGATAGTAATGAACCTAGTGTGATAGTACTAGACCCAGTGTGATAGTACTGGACCCAGTGTGATAGTACTAGACCCAGTGTGATAGTAATGGACCCAGTGTGATAGTACTAGACCCAGTGTGATAGTAATGGACCCAGTGTGATAGTACTAGACTCAGTGTGATAGTACTGGACCCAGTGTGATAGTACTGGACCCAGTGTGGTAGTACTGGACTGGGTGTAATAGTAGTGGATCCAGTGTGATAGTAATGGACCCAGTGTGGTAGTACTGGACCCAGTGTGATAGTACTGGACCCAGTGTGATCGTATGTGACCAGTGTGATAGTACGGGACCAGTGTGATAGTACTGGACAGGGTGTGATAGTATGTGACCAGTGTGATAGTACTGGACTGGGTGTAATGGTAGTGGACCCAGTGTGATAGTATGTGACCAGTGTGATAGTACGCTCAGTGGGATAGTACTGGACCAAGTGTGATAGTACTGGACCCGTTGTGATAGTACTGGACCGGGTGTGATAGTATGTGCCCAGTGTGATAGTAATGGACCCAGTGTGGTAGTACTGGACCCAGTGTGATAGTACTGGACCCAGTGTGATAGTAATGGACCCAGTGTGATAGTACTGGACTGGGTGTAATGGTAATGGACCCAGTGTGGTAGTACTGGACCCAGTGTGATAGTAATGGACCCAGTGTGATAGTACTGGACCCAGTGTGATAGTATGTGACCAGTGTGATAGTACTGGACCCAGTGTGATAGTATGTGGCCAGTGGGATACTATGTGACCAGTGTGATAGTATGTGACCAGTGGGATAGTACTGCACCCAGTGTGATAGTACTGGACCGAGTGTGATAGTACTTGACCGGGTGTGATAGTACTTGACCGGGTGTGATAGTACTGGACCCGGTGTGATAGTACTGGACCGGGTGTGATAGTATTGGACTGGGTGTGATAGTATTGGACCCGTTGTGATAGTACTGGACCCAGTGTGATAGTACTGGACCCAGTGTGGTAGTATCTGACCAGTGTGATAGTATGGGACCAGTGTGATAGTACTGGACAGGGTGTGATAGTACTGGACAGGGTGTGATAGTATGTGATCAGTGTGATAGTACTGTACCCAGTGTGACAGTACTGGACCCGGTGTGATAGTATTGCACCGGTTTGATAGTACTGGACCCAGTGTGATAGTATTGGACCGGGTGTGATAGTATTGGACCCAGTGTGATAGTACTCGACCCAGTGTGATAGTACTGGACCCAGTGTGACAGTAATGGACCCAGTGTGATAGTACTAGACCCGGTGTGATAGTAATGAACCTAGTGTGATAATACTGGACCCAGTGTGATAGTACTGGACTCAGTGTGATAGTACTAGACCCAGTGTGATAGTAATGGACCCAGTGTGATAGTACTAGACCCAGTAATGGACCCAGTGTGGTAGTACTGGACCCGTTGTGATAGTAATGGACCAGTGTGATACTACTGGACCCAGTGTGATGGTACTGGACCTGGTGTGATGGTACTGGACCCAGTGTGATGGTACTGGACCCAGTGTGATAGTACTGGACCCACTGTGATAATACTGGATCAGTGTGATAGTAGTGAACCCAGTGTGGTAGTACTGGACCCAGTGTGGTAGTACTGGACCCGTTGTGATAGTAATGGACCAGTGTGATAGTAATGGACCCAGTGTGATAGTACTGGACCCAGTGTGATAGTACTGGACCTGGTGTGATGGTACTGGACCCAGTGTGATGGTACTGGACCCAGTGTGATAGTACTGGACCCACTGTGATAGTACTGGACCAGTGTGATAGTAGTGAACCCAGTGTGATGGTACTGGACCAAGTGTGATGGTACTGGACCAAGTGTGATAGTACTAGACCCAGTGTGATAGTACTGGACCCAGTGTGATAGTACTGGACCCAATGTGATAATACTTAACCCAGTGTGAGAACACTGAACCCAGTGTAATAGTACTGTGACCAGTGGGATAGTACTGGACCCAGTGTGATAGTACTGGACCGAGTGTGATAGTACTTGACCGGGTGTGATAGTATTGGACTGGGTGTGATAGTATTGGACCCGTTGTGATAGTACTGGACCCGTTGTGATAGTACTGGACCCAGTGTGGTAGTATGTGACCAGTGTGATAGTATGGGACCAGTGTGATAGTACTGGACAGGGTGTGATAGTACTGGACAGGGTGTGATAGTATGTGACCAGTGTGATAGTACTGTACCCAGTGTGACAGTACTGGACCCGGTGTGATAGTATTGCACCGGTTTGATAGTACTGGACCCAGTGTGATAGTATTGGACCGGGTGTGATAGTATTGGACCCAGTGTGATAGTACTCGACCCAGTGTGATAGTACTGGACCCAGTGTGACAGTAATGGACCCAGTGTGATAGTACTAGACCCGGTGTGATAGTAATGAACCTAGTGTGATAATACTGGACCCAGTGTGATAGTACTGGACTCAGTGTGATAGTACTAGACCCAGTGTGATAGTAATGGACCCAGTGTGATAGTACTAGACCCAGTGTGATAGTAATGGACCCAGTGTGATAGTAATGGACCCAGTGTGATAGTACTAGACCCAGTGTGATAGTACTGGACCCAGTGGGATAGTACTGGACCCGTTGTGATAGTACTGGACCAAGTGTGATAGTATTGGACCGGGTGTGATAGTATTGGACTGGGTGTGATAGTATTGGACCCGGTGTGATAGTACTAGACCCAGTGTGATAGTACTAGACCCAGTGTGATAGTACTGGACTGGGTGTAATGGTAGTGGACCCAGTGTGATGGTAATAGACCCAGTGTGATGGTAATGAACCCAGTGTCATAGTACTGGACTGTGTGTGATGGTATTGGACCCAGTGTGATAGTATTGGACCCGGTGTGATGGTACTGGACCTGGTGTGATGGTACTGGACATGGTGTGATGGTACTGGACCCAGTGTGAGAGCACTGAACCCAGTGTGATAGTAATGGACCCAGTGTGGTAGTACTGGACCCAGTGTGGTAGTACTGGACCCGTTGTGATAGTAATGGACCAGTGTGATAGTACTGGACCCAGTGTGATGGTACTGGACCTGGTGTGATGGTACTGGACCCAGTGTGATGGTACTGGATCCAGTGTGATGGTACTGGACCCAGTGTGATAGTACTGGACCCACTGTGATAATACTGGACCAGTGTGATAGTAGTGAACCCAGTGTGGTAGTACTGGACCCAGTGTGGTAGTACTGGACCCGTTGTGATAGTAATGGACCAGTGTGATAGTAATGGACCCAGTGTGATAGTACTGGACCCAGTGTGATAGTACTGGACCTGGTGTGATGGTACTGGACCCAGTGTGATGGTACTGGACCCAGTGTGATGGTACTGGACCCAGTGTGATAGTACTGGACCCACTGTGATAGTACTGGACCAGTGTGATAGTAGTGAACCCAGTGTGATGGTACTGGAAG